CACGGAACGTAATGGTCATGGGTTCAACCCCTGACGGGATCGTGGGTGAGCAAACAGCTGTCCAATCGTCTCAGGTTTTCAATACTCATCTAACTGATGTCAATCCATGATGTAAACCAAATGGAAACAGTTTTCTTATTGTGTTTATCACAGTTTTTAATAGGAAATAAGTGTCTTTATTTAAGTAATGGTGGTTGGTTGTGATGTGGATATTCAAGATGTGTATGATATGCATGATGCCATCTTCCATTGAAGTGTTGATTGTGTGTTATCTACTTTCGAATTGTTTTCTGCATGCATATGACCATGAGCACTTCGTTCAACTCTATCGAATCGGAGTAGTTTCCATGTGTTTACTGGATACACATTCATGTTATGTGGTTTATCATTGAGGGATATGATGTCGGTGTAGTATTTTGTTGTGAAGTGATGTGATCTACGTTTTACAGTGAAGAATCTTTTGATGATGAGAGTGAATCGATGTGTGGTGTTGAGTAAATTGAATGTATACATTTGAATGGATGTGTTGCTTCCATCTTATTATTTGTATATCGAGCATTGAAGTTAGTGTTATCTCCTATCAACTCATCATGCCTCAGCTACATGTTATCTATGCGCTTCCTTCTTCAATCTGCCGATTTTTACAAGCGTCACATTAACACACTGAAATATCACATCGAACATCAACCATTGGTTACAGCTACTTTTGAATCTATCTTCGAAGGGATCAATCTCTTCACAGATCACCGAAGTCAGTACATGAAGCATTCAATCATAACGTTACCATCATCTCACACGCCCAAATCGTCGTTTCCTATCTGGGTTTCACTCCAGTGCCTGGCCTGGCATGTGATCTCCCCAATCGACCTTCTTAGTGTATGCCTAATACAATACAATCCATCTCCACTTCCTTCCCCTGCACATTTGTTGAGTGATAGGTTCTTGCTTCGTTGGTTCGTCACCAGCCAGCCAGCTAGAGTTTCTCCTTGCTTATTCTTGTTATTATCGCCATCTGAGTTTCAGTAAGGAGCCAGCGTAGTCAGCAGTTGTTGATGAATATCTGTAGTTTGTTGGAAATGATTTTCATGACCTGCCAACTCTCTCAAACATCACATAGAAGCACCGACTTACTTGACTGAATTGGTTGGTGTTGAAAATGCGGATGTTGTTCACACTTTATGCTGATTGGAGTGCAGTGCAGTAGATCTTCACACTGGTTTCAGGTTAATGCACCAAGGCGTGTCATGTTGTGTTTCCGATGCTGGTTGGCTTTGACATCCTCGTGTGTGCCTGTGCGGTGTGTAGTTGAGACGATGTTGCCTAGGGAGGTGGGTAGGTGAAATAGGCTACTTCCATTAAGTTTCTCACGTTGATGGTGATTGGAGCTTGTTGTTGTTGTTGGTGGTGGTGTTATTGGTTAGCTATCTTCGTCACCTGCCTTCTGTATGTTCACTTGAAGTTTCGTTTTCCTTCACAGCACTGCCTATTCTATCTACTTGTTAGTTTTCGCCTGTACATCTTCTAGTTTGTGCGACATTAGACAGAATTCATCACTTGCGAAATCTAAATCTTCTAGGATCTTTTACCCGGTCAAGCAACTTATCTCCCTCTTCTCGCTGCTCACGGCTTTCTGCTACATAATCCAGTCAACGACAATCAGGAAGATTATGGGTGGTGGTAGATAGCCTGAACATACTCCCATCTTCACCTTAAACGCGTCACTGAGCTTTCTATTGTGTATTACTTGGCATGTGGCGTCTTCATATAGCTGCTGTTGAATGAGGTTGATGAAGGTTTGTGCTACTAAAACCGTAGTGTTGAAGCAGTTGCTAAATTACTTCTCGGTCAACGCGTTAATCGAAGGCCTTTTCAAAGTCGATGAAGTTGAGGTAAGGTAAATAGTTGACTACCATTCTATTCTCTGTTCTATGATGATACGTGGTGTATTGTTGTAATGTGGTCCGCACATGATTTGTACTTCCTGAATGCACTTAGCCTGTTCCGGTCGTAGTTTCGAATCCAGTGCATCCTTTAGTCTCTCCAGGATGATGCGGCTTAATATGTTGTTTGGTGTGTACAGGCATGAAGTATGATTACTTGCAAGTTCTTGCCAAGACTTAGGTCTCCTTTGTTTGGGAGTTTGGCAATGTAGCCCTTCTTCCAGTTGATCAGCAGTTACCTTCGGTTTCTTCCGCTGTTGTCCCTGTGTCTGTTTTCAGTGCTTCTTGTGGGATTCCATCTGGTCCTGCTGGTTTCCCGCATTTCAGTGTCCTTATGACGTTCAGGACTTCAACTTTCGTCGAAGGGCTTGTGTCCACTTGTAGTCCTGTGGCTGTAGGTGGTATTCCTGGACAAAGTGCAGGTGGTTGTAGATTCGAGAGCTTTTAGAATCGGTCAGTCCATCGTTTCCTTTGTTTCTCTTCTTTCGTAATTCGATTTCCGTCATCATCTTTTATTGGTTTCATCCCTGGTGTGTTGATCTCTTCCCAGGTAGTAACTTGGTTATTCAATATAGTGTTGTTAGGTCTCTCCCACCTTTAGCCTGTTCTGCTTCACTTACCGATGTGTCGTAGAAGTGTCTTTTATCTTTACGAGCACTCTTCTTCACTTCTTTGTCTAGTGTAGTGTTTTATACGTTGTACTCAGTTCTTCTTTTCGTTGTTCATCTTTGTGCTGGTTTATCTTCTGTTTCACCATCGTCCTCTCCCCGCTCTATCAGCTTTCATGTATCCATCAAGATCCATTCCACTCCTTATCTTCTTTTTTCTTTTTCCCTGACATGTTTATGCAGGTTTCTTTCCATATAGCTTACAAAGAAAGTAGTGGACACTTATGAGTTTGAAATGATAAAAAAGATTTTTGCCGCTGGTTGAGAATGATGGTGATTGATATTTCACTATGAATGTCAATCGATTGGTTTATCAATTAGGAATCGGAGAAGCTCACAAACCAACAAAGTCACTTTACACCATGTTGTACCATCCAAAGAATGCTTTGCCAAAAGAAGTTAGTACTGATGATGTCGTCTAGCAAGGTGATGAAAGCTTCACGATTAAACAACCCAGCTCAGAGAACACAATACAACCAAGACACAGCAGATATATTCTAAAAAATACCTTGCAAAGATTGTTCAACATACTATTTTGTAGAGTCTAACTGTCGGATCGCTCAAAAATTCATGAACACCGACTAGCAGGAAAAATAATCATATGAGGATCAAATTATAACGCTACGCATCATCATAGAATGCCAGTCAACTCAATCTCAACTTCATCCCCTTTAAAAAAGCTTCTGACAGCGTTGACCGAGAAGTAAATTGCTAGCTGCTACAATACTACGGTTTCAATGTCACAATCTCTTATCAACCTCATTCAACAGCTATATGCAATATGATGCTACATGCCAAGTGATTCACAATGGAAAGCTGAGTAATGCTTCTCAAGTGAGACAGATTGACAGGTAAGATAAGGTTTCCGCCTACTGTCACCGATAATCTTCCTGATTATGGTCAACTGGACTAGACTGGACCGGACTGGATCATGCAAGAAACTGTGAGGAGCTGTGAGAAGATGGGCATACGTAACTCGAAGATCTACATTAGAAAACTAACAATTTGACAGAAGAGGCAGGACAGCGAAGGAAGTTTGGTACTTCCTTCAGTTGAACGTAGAGAAGACAGAGGTGATGAAGATAGTCAACCACCATTACCACCACCACCAACAACAAACACCAATCACCATCAACGGGAGAGATATGGAGCAAGTTGTCTCTTTCACCTACCTACCTACCTAGGCAGCATCGTTTCAACTACAGGCGGTGGCTGCACAGATGAGGACGTCGAAGCCAGGATCGCAAAGATATCAAGACAGACCTTCCTGCATTAATCTGTTGAGATCAGTATGGTGATCGACTGCACTCCACTCAGCATAAAAAAACAATATCCGGATTTTCAACATTAAGTCACTCAAGTCAGTGCATCCATATGGTTCATTCAGAGATTTGGTGCTTCACGAACAGCATTTTCAACAAACCGCAGACATACATAATCAACAGCTGCCGCCCACTCTCCATACGGAAGATGAGATGAGAAGGGGAAAAAAATAAGCAAGGAAGAAGTGTGGTTTGGCATTAAACCAACCAAGAACCCATAACCCAATAAATATGCAGAAGAACGTGGAGATGAATTGGGCATAGAATGAGAAGACCATTCAGGCAGCATCACGCATCAGACCCTATAGTGGGGGTCTGAGGGTGACATAGAGGTGATGGTGTGATAAAATGAAAGGTTATGGGAAGTCGTGGAGTCAGGTTAAAAATAACTGGAGAATACAGAGTGAAGTGCTGACGTGCTAGTGAACCCCTATATTCCATCAGGAACCCAAGGGACAAACAATAATAATAATAATAATAATAATAATAATAATAATAGTAATACTTTATATGTACTTATAGTTCAGATGTTGTTAATGATAAGTGGAAATCACTTAGGGATGGTTGACACTTTGTTAGATTTTATCCTTTGAGAATACCATCAGTGTATCAGTGTTCACAAAGAAGTCAAAAAGATGATGAACATCAACATTAATAAGAATTACACCCAACCAGGTTATATATATTCATATCACATATATCTGAGGTTCCATTTACGCAAGTAATTCAGATATTTAACAGTTCAAAAATTGTCTATTTGTATTGATGATTGATTTCTATGGAATTCATTCCTCTCTCTCTCTCTCTCTCTCCCTCTCTGTTAATCGCCTCAATTGACGCCTTTCTCCAGTGTGAATTAGATTGGCGCCAGTAACTTACTGTCGCCTAATGACTCATGTACAACTCATAACTTGAGAGTAATAAAAATCTTTAGAAATATTCATTTGTGTAGCTGTTCCTTCTGTAAAAATAACAAAAACCACTAGTGATGGTTTATAACTATTTTTTTTTCAAATTGATGGAAAGTTCAGTATTGATAAAGTATTTCAGTGAAAAGTTTCCTTTCTTTGATGATTTCATTGATGAAGGTGTACATTGGAACATTGATTGTATACCGACATGGTGAGCATACAATAACTGCTACTACTACTACTACTACTACTACTACTACTACTACTACTACTACTACTACTACTACTACTACTACTACTACTACTACTACTACTACTACTACTACTACTACTACTACTACTACTACTACTACTACTACTACTACTACTACTACTACTACTACTACTACTACTACTACTACTACCACTACTACTCACACTACTACTACTACTACCACTATTACTACTGACATTAGTACTAGTACTACTACTGCTACCACTGCTACTACTACTCACACTACTACTGTAGTGGGCGTTGCTGATAAGAATGGATATAAGTAGTATACGTCGAGAAGGTGGCAGAAATCATAAGAAATTACCAGCAGTGAAGAAGGATTCCGCCAAGAGAAATGAAAGAGACAAGGCAGGCGTATGAAGTGCAAATTGAGAAAGAAGAAGAAGAGGAAATGACAGTTTTTAATGAATACTATCCCATTTGTTAGTAATAAATATCCCTCTCTGCCTACCTGTCGTTTGCTAATTTCACTGCTATTACTACTACTATCTCTACTAGTATTATGGCTCACACTTCTGCTACGTCCTCTCACACCACTACCACTTAGAATCTTACTGATACGACTTATCCTACTGTTTATACTTCCAATCGCGCTACTACTGCTACCTTCCTCAGTATTACCACAGTTTACCCTGATAGTGCTACTACTCTTACTACTCCTGTTACCTATGTAACTGTCAACTCATGTCTACTTATTTAAATTGTAGCTGCAAGGTTGAAGGATCTTACAATGAGTTTGTTAATGATTCAGCTGATAGTTTTTTGCCTCATTCTGAGAAGTAGCAATATTTTTACAAGTGTCTTGGAACATACGTGAGCTGAATTACCTGACCCTATAAACCACTGGTAATAGACGTTGGCACTGAGACCAGTCTAATAGATTGATGTTTCTGTGTATCTTCGACCTACTTATGTAACATGTTCAAGATGTCTAGTCATATTTGTCGAAACTTTAGCTAGTTAAAAGGTTAGAACAAGCTTTCTATGTTTAAAAGTGGACATAGTATTGAATTTCATCATCTCTTTGAACTGATTAATATATCTACTCCAGTCCTACACTGGATTAATCATGATGCGAATAGTTAAGTGGTACGGTGTCTGATCATAGCATTGAGTGATGTTGCTTCAAATCTTTGCGAAGATATCAGTTATCTTAAGGTTACTGTTATGACTTTGGGATGAGTATCTACTGATTGTTAACAACCAACTGATGTCTATCAAAGTGCATCATGGTGTAAAGTATGGCAACTTATTAATCAGGCTACTAAAAATAATCGATAGACAATAGTAAATTGGTTACTTATCGATAAGAGATCACTGTAACTTTTAACCTTCACTTCATTGATATACATTACCTTTAGTCTAACCTTTTTACTTATTATGGTATTATTTATCCCATGGGTTCCAGTGGAACATACGGCTTCACCAGCACATCTCCATTACACTCTCTTATCTGCAATCTTTCAAACCTGGAACCACGACTACCCACAACCTCTCATTTATTCCTCACACACCATCTCCTCCATGTCACCATCACCTCACACTCCCAAATCGTCGTTTCTCATCTGGGTTCCACTCGAGTGCCTGACCTGTCGCGTGATGTCCTGGAATGGTCTTCTCAGTGCATGTCCAATACAATCCATCTCCACTTCGTTCCACTGCATATTTATTGAGTGACAGGTTCTTGCTTCATTGGTTCGTTCTCAGAGTTCCTTCTTGCTTATTCTTGTTATTTTGGCAATCTGAGCTTCAATAAGGAGCCAGCGTAGTCAGCAGTTGGTGGTGAATATCTGTAGTTTATTGGAAATGCTTTTCGTAACGCACCAATTCTTTGAACATATAGCAAAGCATTGACTTGATGTTGGCATTGAAAATGCGGATGTTATTCACACTTTATGCTGATTGGAGTGCAGTGCAGTAGATCTCCACACTGGTTTTCAAGTTAATGAACACCTATCTTGCTCTCTTTCCGATCGTGGCTTTTACATCCTCATCTGTGCCGGTGCGGCGTGTAGTTGAAACAATGCTGCTTTGCCTGGGTAGGTGAAAGAGACTATTTCCTGTAAATTTCTCACGTTGATGGTGATTAGAGCTTGTTGTTGTTGTTGTTGGTGGTAGTGGTGGTTGGCTATCTACATCACCTCTGTCTTCTCTACGTTCACTTGAAGTCCTGTCTTCGCTGCCTCGCCTCTTCTATCAACTTGTTAGTTTTCGCCTGTACATTTTCAAGTTTGTTTGACATTAGACAGAGGTCCTCACTGGCAAAATCCAATCTTCTAGAGTCTTTTCTGCACTCTAGCTTGTCCCCCTTTTCTCGCTCCTCACTATCTGTTGCCTGTTTACTTGATGATCTCTTATTCTTTTAATACCCTTCATATAAATAGATGTGACAAGTAGATATGTGATCAGATTGCTGAAACTAAGTTCTTCGACTATATCATATTACATGGTTCAGATAAAATTTCCATCTTTTCGCTTACTTTGTCAAAGGAAAGACAAAACATTCAACTCCATCAGTTTTGAAGCTGAAGTAGTACTGCTGTCACGTAATGTATTAGTGAATGTATCAAGTGTGATCCATCTTAGTGTATGCTTTTTGTCTAATCTTTCTTGGTCCTTCATATTTTACTGATCTCGAGGATAGTCCTTCGAGGTACCATTAACATAGTGAAATTCAGACTGTCTGGTATAACTCAGTGCCTACTCCTACCTTTTGCCTATACTTACTTATTGTTCCCCCTTTATTCTTTCCTGAACTCCAGAAGACAAACTATGCTGTAATGCGTAGGATTCTGAAGGATGTTAGTAGAGCAAGTGGTACATCACTAAGGGTATTGATGAATTTGGTCGTGAATAGGCATCTTAGCTCTTGTAGACTACTGACTGAAAATATTTTCTCCATAGACAAGCGTCCCCACCTGTCTCTGTTGTCTGGTGAGATATGAAGCAAATATATTGGACCTTATGCACACAGTAATTATGACTGAGACGTCATTAAGCATTTCAACAATCCTATTACAAGCTGAAAATCTCTACTGTCAACAAAATTATGCTACTCAATTTTCCACTAAATTGGAAAATGGATATCCATCGAAGTTCATAAATCACAGCAAAAATCTGCAAGGATTCAAACTTAATCTGTACTCTGTTTCGAAGAAATGCGATTACATGCCGTTACCATACAGAGGAGAATCTAATGGCATAATATTAAAACGAAGGTTAAGGTCTGCTGTTAGCAAAACGTACTATGCAGCTAAGCTTATCATAGTTGAGAAGACCAAACACCTGCTGCTAAACAGACCTCAACGCTGTATAAACGACTGTGTCACATCCCACTGCGTTTATAAATTTACATGGGTATGTGTGTGGGACAAACATACATAGAGAGGACGAATCGTGATATGCACTTGAGGGTAGGGAACATGTTCCAAAATGGCTACAAAAGCAACTGGATTCATAAACATTGATAAGCACAGATGGCAGACAACCATCATCCGCATCCATTGCAAAACATATCATTGATAAGAGTCAAAGGATTGATATCAAAACAGCCTTTACAATTTTGTACAGAAACTATCATGGGCGTATACTTAAGTTTGTCGAGGCGCTAGCCATAAATAAATTTAACCCCCCGATGATGGGGTGCAAAATAGTTTGTCCTTACATTAAGCTTACCTTGGTAATGCTTATTTTATCGTATTACCAAAATTGTCTTCAAATCTTATCCTTTTTTTTCTCCTCTCATTATCCTTCTTATTGTTGAATTCCTTTATGTCATATGTGTCCTTCCCCCACTTCCAGTTTTCATATATTATGCCTTAACAAGTAAATGTGTGGGGGATTAGATTGTTCCAAATGCATAGCGACAATACGTCACCATATTTTTCAGATAATCTACGTCTTCTAATTACGCTATACAAATTCATAAAATGGACTAATTATGCTTCAAATGTATTACTACTAATCATATTCTCATGACAGTATGTTGCTATAGAGATCATGACAAGATTACTGAGATTATATGGAATGGTGCTGCTTATAAACAAACTCCCATACAGAGGAGAATCTAACAGCATAATATTAAGACGAAGGTTAAGGTCTGCTGTTAACAAAACGTACTAGTTCCCTTCAAACCATATTTTACAGATCAAAGAAGACAATCAGATTATATATTGATGGTGTTGTGTTCTCTGAGCTGGATGATTTAATCGTGGAGTTTTCACTGTCATCCTAGACAACATCATGAGCACAAACTTTAGAAAGTGGTTCCTTGACCTAGTGGATAACGGCGCTCTGATGTTTGAAGCTATCAGTCAGCGATTAGAGTCTTTGGGGGAACAATATCGCTTTCTAGGAGGTAGGTGCATACAGCTGATGAGTCTGAAATAGAACGAATTCTACTGCTAACTACTCTTCATGATTACCAACGAATTAATTTATTGACCCAATGGCTCAGTACTAACGTGCTGACCATGGGGCCTATCGGTTCTTTGTTCGATTCCTGATGTGAATGACACAGAGAAGGAAACAACCAATCAGAAACCTGTTCATCAGGGCAAGTTACTTAATCACTCACAGATAAGTGCTGACAGCTCATTTCATATCGAAGTTAGTGCTGATGACGCTGATGTCTAGAAAGGCTATGAAGCTATACGATTAGAACACAGCTCAGGGAAGGCCAAACAACCGAGAGTGCGGAAATCGTACGTGACAACCTTTATCTTTCAACGCAATGCTTGTCTTAACATCATGATGTTTATCGGTTCAGTTTATTCATCATATCAAATGTTTAAGCTTCTAGTTTACTGTTGACATAAGACCACAATGATATCTCAAAGGTATACAGGGTGATTCATTCGACTGCCGATGTGTGTTCTTCTTGTTTAACCATACCATACTCCGTAGATTTCATTCCGCACATTGAGATGAGTTTACACGAGTTGATCGTGTAATGGGTAACCCATAGAGCTATCAAGTTGTTTATAGTTAGTGCTAACTGAGGTTTATGGATCAAGATTTTCGAGTGTCCGAATTTAACACTGAGCGATGCCACTTCGAACCACCAAGAGAATATCAACTTTCTTCTACTTACAGATGACTCCTAACAACTTGACTCAGAATTTCCTGTCAATTTCCTGCTACTATATGACCGAAAACCTCACCTGGTTAACTAGTTCACTGGTTACTAACCGGTCCTAAGCCCGGATAAACAGGGAAAGTTGGGCATACGGCTAGCAACCCTACCCCTACCCTGTATAACCAATCC